AGTTGAGGGACTCAACAAAGTAACATCATATAGTCAAAAGACCATTTTGTAACTTTTAATAATCATGAGACTCAATAAAACAACGTCCTACAATCGATAAACCATTTATGTACTTATCCATATTTTTTCCACCAATTAAACAAAATTCCAGATTCTTATTTTTTTTCCTGATTCAGTCCTTAAAAAAGGAATGTCATTTGTGTGAAGAAGAGCTCAGAAACAATAAAGGAATTTCATTTCGTTATTTGAATTACCCTTTCTTCTCTTTCAAATCCGGTATTCCTCTGTATTTAAGGCTCAGAAACAAAAACTTCTCTGACAATAGGCCTTTCGAACCAACTCCGTGGTGTTGTCTATTCTTCCTATGTTGTAGAAACCGAGCTTTTAATGCTTATGCTTTGTGATATATTGGATTTCAATTTGATTTCGTAGGGTATTCTCATATTTGGCAATGTTTTTAATGAATTCTTTTCTTGGGACAGGTTCTGGTTGCAGTTGACATTGAATCAGATAGACCTTTATTAGAGCAGCGCCAAAATGTCGAGAAAAGGTTTGATGGAGCAAGACTTAAGTAAACTGGATGTAACAAAGTTGCATCCCCTCTCTCCCGAAGTTATATCTCGGCAAGCTACTATTAATATTGGTAATGTTCAAACTCTGTTGCGATCGAGCTATTTATAGCGCCTATTGTCATGGTACAAGTGGTTGCGGTTTTTTTGTTCTCGTTTTGTTGATCGAAACTTTGATATGGGTTTCGTTTTACCAGGCACCATATGGCATGTGGCACATGGAAAGTCAACAGTTGTGAAAGCAGTATCCGGTGTTCAGGTGATTTAGCTTATATTTAATGTACCCAATAAGATATGATATTGATACATCACCTTCAGAGAGTCTGCTTTGTGTTTTGTGCCTTTTGAACTGTGGCCGTTAAGTTTTGGATGCGGAAGTTTCCATATGGAGTAGATGCGGTTATGGAGAACATTATATCCCACGCGTCTACCCAACACTTTTACAACAAGGGTAAATTCCATGCTCTTAAGGGCAAGATTCTGAACCCGATCAGAAAAATCGATGAAGGGTATTCCGTTTGATTCTCCAACCCGGATGTCATCTTCCAGGAGATCAAAATCATCATCATCAAGAGGGAAAAGCTCTTCATCGTGTTGGTTTTCCATTGATCCAATAACCATATCCTTGTACGAGACACTCGGCTTCGTAGAAGAGTTATTAGGTTCTGCTGCAGGCAAGTCATCACAATCCATGGTGGTTGTCGAGGGGTCAGACGGGTTGAGAGGAATGTCCGGCGGATTTTCATCCCGACGGCGTTGTTTCTTTGGGACGCGGGGTCTTTAGAAGCTGTTGACCATGGTTTTAAATAGCGGTCCGTGACTACGATAGTGTCCGTGAAATAGTAGTAGCGCTGCCTTCCGATATACCCGCTATGGCCGCAAGAGTGTCCGCTATAGTCGTAATGGCGGTAAATGAGACATGACCGAAAACGCGACTTCGATTTGAATCCCTAGGATTTACATTAGGTGGTAAATGAGACATGACCGAAAACGCGACTTCGATTTGAATCCCTAGGATTTACATTAGGTTTTATCTTGGATATGTGTTTGGCTTCTGATTTTTGCTTACATATGGAGGCGTATTACTTTTTTAATATTTTGTTTTTATTTAATGAAAATGCAAAGTTCCATTAAATTTGTAGTCATAAAAAATAAATAAAAATTAAAGCTTAATTTAGTTTTTGAAATTTTAAGATTTTACTGAAATTTTCAATTTTTCTTTTTGAATATTTCAAAATTATTATTATTATTAAAAAAATCAAATTGACACAATGAATAAAATTTCAAATCATTATACTTATTTCATAAGTTTTCATGTCATTGTTTCGGCTAACTATTAAGTGACTTAGATCATAAAAATAATTAGTTAATTGATCAAAAATATATATTTGATATTTTAGTGATCAAAATGTAAATCAACTAACACTTAAAAGATTGTGAATGTAGCTAAATCAATATTTTTTTTTACCCTTATATCGATTTTTTAAATTAATGATCCACGTAACAATCATTCTTAATTTTTTCTATCAAAATAGTACTCATATCTATTACGTAGAGTAAAGACATGTCCGAGAAATTGATTTGGTGCACCTTTACCTAATGTACTTAGGGATTTGATTTGGTGCACCTTTACCTAATGTACTTAGGGATGATCATTGGTCACGTAGAATAATCCTTTCCACATGTATCTGACTCGACTCGTGTATATATATAAATATATATTATTTTGTACTAGATAACATTAAAATTTAATTAAGATATCTATTGGGGGAGATGGGGAACATAAAGGAAATTTGGGGAGTGGGGGGGAGATTTGCACCTTTCCAATGCCCTCTCAAAAGCCATATTATGTAAAGAAAGAATCCGTAAATATTGAAAAGTGGCGATGTTCATTCACTATTCATTCATTCTTGTTATGGTCCACACTATTAATGACTTGCCCCATCCCAGCTTTTTCTCTCGTCTTTAACTCAACTTCATCATGCCCATCTCTCAATCCATAATTTATTTTGTTAGATGAGTTTGATTAAATCATGTTCCAAACAACTCTTAAGTATCACTGCTTTGTTTCATCAAACGACCATGTGATGACATTTCCACCTTACATGTGATGGGATCAACATTTTGTTTTTAGGTCAACTACACCCTTCATACTTGAACTATCACTTTTATTTCGTTTTAATATCTAAACTTTCATTTATTTTAAAAACATACTTAATATTAACTTTTTATTTCATTTTCGTATATCGCCATTAAAAACTTAATGAAACAGTTATAACTACGGATGTAAATGAGACGAAACAAATTACGAACTACTCAAGATCGACTCCGACAAAGTTCGGTCAACTCTCAAATCTAATAGACTCAACTCGAGCTCAAAATCGTCTCGAGCTCTTAAAAAGTCAAAACAAACTACTTGTTACTCGACTTGAAAAGTTCATAAGCAACTCGAAAGATAATATATTAAAATTTTAAATTTTTTAATTCAATTATTAATAATATTAATGTTTATTTGTTTTTCTTTTTTTTAAAAAAATATATCAGGCTTTTATGTACTTAAGATTTATGTTCGAGTTTGAACTTCAATCAAGTCGAGTTTAAAAATTTTAAGCTCACAAGCTTTCAAGTCGAGTCGAGCTTTAATTTTGTATTTTGAGTTTGAGTCAAGTTTAACAATTTTAAACTTGTGAATTTTCAAGTCGAATCAAACTCAATATTACACTTTTATAGATAAATTATATTATTTATTACTTAATTATCTTCTCATTATTATTTTGATCATTGAAATTTAATTATTTTTAATTTAATTATTTAACTTTCAAATTGCTACTAATTTAGTCACTCTAAATTTTAATTAAATTTTTTTTATTTTAATTATATAATAATAAAAGATATCATATCACAAAAAATATTAATAAAATAAATTAGAGTGATCAAAATATAACCAATTTAAGTTGTTAAATTGAAAATTTCTAAACTTTAATGATCTAAATAAGAGTGAAAAAATAATTGAATAATGAATAATATAATTTACCCATAAAAATACATGTGCAACAATTTCTTTATATTTTTAAAAGAGCGTTAAAATAAAACAAATAATAAACCTCGGTTATAATTTTAAAATAAATTAAAGTTTAAATACTAAAATGAGACAAAACCAATAATTCAAATAGTAATCGTATTGTTTACCCTTTGATTTTTTTTAACAAAAACCCTTTTACAATGGCAACTCATCTTCATCGTGTTTTTTTGGGCAAAAGTGTCTATATAAGGCACGTGCGAATGTTTATTTCTCAAACTAATGCAGTGAGGTGATTAATTCTTCAAATAAGATAATTATTATAGGATTATATGCAGTGTGTGGGATCTCTCGACATCGCGAATCAGATTTATGGTGAATCCATACGAGTGTTTTAGAAGGAAAAAAATTAACGTTTTACACAAATATCATATTAATCGAAATTAATTATTTATTAGACACTGTATAAAAATATTTTACAGATCTAACAAAATTTTAAATATTTTCTATAAAATTATTCCTGTATTAAATTACACAATACAATTATGTCTACAAATTATCATTTAATAATTTTTATGCGTTTTTGACAATTTTAAAATCTTATACGTATAATATATTCTAGAAAAACTTTGAGGATAAATAATTTAAAATATAAATAATTTTATAAAATATTATAAATCATCACCATTTAAAACAATAATTTTACAGAAAAAGTCATCAAATACACCACATAAGATTTTGAAATGATCAAAAACACATCAAAAAATATCAAATGATAATTAATATACATAATTATATTATGTAATTTAATGCAAGAATAATTTATAAAAAATATAAAAAATAATTTTATAAGATATTATAAATCATCACCATTTAAAACAATAATTTTACAAAAAAAGTCATCAAATACACCACATAAGATTTTGAAATGATCAAAAACACATCAAAAAATATCAAATGATAATTAATATACATAATTATATTATATAATTTAATACAAGAATAATTTATAAAAAATATTTAAAAATTTAATAAATTCATAAAATATTCTTAAACAGCATCTAATAAATAATTAATATTTATTAAGATGATATTTATATAAAACCGTAATTTTTTTCTCCTTATGCCCGAATTTCAACCATGGAATTAACACATAGAGAAATCTGATCCAATCCTGAAAATATCGAGAGATCCTGAATACTACATGTAATCTTATAGCAATCACCCCATTTAAAAAATTAATCGCCTGACTGCATTAGTTTGGGAAATAATCATTCCCGCCTTATACGGGCACTTTTGCCTGCTTTTTGTTAGCAAATACTATCCAGAAAAATAACAGTTGAAGATCAAAATTATTTGCAGATATATGTAAAAACAAGGAATGTGACATCATTACAGTAAACATGTAATATCTATTTAACTGGAATTCATGTTCTTCACCTTCTAGGTTCATACAGCTAACAATGAAGGAATGGCCGACAGATTTGGGGTTGTGCTTTTGTTGTTCGGTTCCCTGATGACGGTGGTGTTACTTTTCTTACCAGAAGAGGGCTTAGTGAATGCTCTCATGGGACTAGCAAAAGTCCATCCCCAGCTCTTACTACTCCTCCCGTTCACGTTCTGATCCTCAGATGAAGACGATAGCCAGTACGATGACGATGATGATGAAGTGATGATGAAACCGCCGAATATGCCGCCGCATCTGACCCTTTCTTTCATTGCAGACGGTGCTCCGACGGTGGCGGTGGAGGTCTTTGGTTTGCCTTCTCTTTGAGATTCGACTCGCCTCAGAGTGCAATCACCGAACCCGGTTGAGATCCTCTCGAAGAAATCGCCGGAGAAGCTACGGCTTCCGCAGCCGACTGACCTGGATCTCGAAACCTTCCGCTCGAACGACGAACCAGTCGAGGGAGTAGCTTCATTAGTGGGACTATCATCGTCCTCTATCACCACAATGTATGCTTTTCTCGATGAACCTAAGCTTTTCTCCTTTGGACCAGAAGACGAAGCTCCTCCAGATGCGACTGTCGCCACCGTTGATACGGTGGCCGTAGGCGGTGCAACAGAAGCAACTTTATCTAACTTTTTGGAACCATGGGTCTTGGAAGAAAGGTAGAGAAAAGACCAAAAACCAGTTCTTTTCCTAGGGCTGAAGTCCCCACCATTTTCACCATCCACGAACCGACCTCTAATGGGAGCAGTAGTCGACTTGCTTCTTTTAAAAGCAATATTACTACCATGATGATGGTGATGACGATAATGATGATCCGATGATGCATCCATCGTCTTCTTCTTCTTTGTCAACATGAAAGGGATCCTAGCTTTCCTCGTATAGCATTCATCATAATGACCACCATTATCGTTCCCGGTTGACATGGGACGAACAACAGACAGGGAAGAAATAGAAGTAACAGCGCCACCACCGGTGTCAGATCTTAAAGGAGGAGGAGAAGAAGAAGAAGAAGGGGATGCACGAATAGGTAAAGGAAAAGAAGAAGAAACCAACTTGCCTAGCTTCTCTTGAAGGCAAAAAGCACAGATACCACCTGGGTTATTTCTATAAGGATGATTACTACATTGCATTCCATCTCCCATATCGTCGTCTCCAACACCAACTCTTCCATCTCCTCCTTCCATCATTTGTTAACTTCAAAAAAGCAAATATCTCTAAAATCTTTGTTCCTTGTCGTATTACTCTCTTTTCTCATCAAAGATGACCTTTTTTTTCTTTCTTTGGCTGCCGAGAGAGAGAGAGAGAGAGAGAAAGACAGAAGAAGATGAGATACAAACAAAAGAGGGTCAGAAGAGTGTTATTGAAAAAAGAGCACCGGAAAGGGGAGGAGTGAAAGGGAGAGTGTCCCCAGGAGCACGTGGAAGACTGAGTTTCGGCTACACATTAAACAAAGTGGAAAATGAAATCATAAAACCCTAGCCTCTTTTTTCTTTGGTTTTGGGGATTTCATCAAAGCACCTGCCAGCTTAGCACAAGAATCTGTAAACAAAGACGGACAGTCGTCTCTGACTCACTCAGCTTAGCTATTCACGGGGTTTTCATTAAAGTCTATTGCTTTACTTTTTTTTAATAATCTTTTTTGTTATAATTAGAAGAAGAAAGTATGCGTCTGCTTTGTAACCAAAGATATCTCTGGATTCCTTCTTTTTCTGCCATTACATTATTAAAACCCGTCTATTTTATTTCTGTAAATAAACAGGGATTAATGTAAAAATAATTTATTAAATTATACTGCGTCTTAAATTAATTTTAAATATTTAAATAATTTTTAATTTAAAATAAACAGTTAACATTTTTTATGTTACATTTTAGATATTTAAACTATAATCATCGTTAAAATAAAACATAAAATGATGTGTCACATATATATATATTAAAATTTATTTTTAAAAAGTTGAAATATTATTTTAAAAAACATGAATTAGAAAGAAAGAAAAAAATCTAAATACACCAACCCGACCACCTTGTCCGTGCTTCCCTTCCCCCTTGGCCTTTGTCGCCGTAAATATTCACTTCCAAAATTTTGTAAGCTTGTCTCCCTAAATTTGTTTCAAAAGAAACATAGAAGAATTATATAAGTATAACAAGAACATGGAGTAGTGAGAGAGGAAAAGATTGTTGAATCACTTATTGTTAAACAATTTCATAGATCTGTTTGATTTAGAATATTGAATTTGTTGTTTTGTGCCAGGTTTGCTTGGGGTTTAAGACGTGCCCCGCTAATTAATATTATAATACCATCTCATGTTCATATAAGGACAACAATTAAATTATGATTTGTCTACATATGAAAAGAGTGGGGACCATTCACGCATTTAGGACACATATCTAATGCACGTCCTTGTTATTAATTAATTTTAGCGTGAAGGAAGAAGATAGTTCCTTTAGATCTTTTTTTGTTGAAGGGGAGAGTCCGATATAATCCTCAAGTTCTAAATAAGACGTACGACAAAGTTAAATTAATTGCGAGTGCAAGATATAATCATTTTACAAAGTTAAATCAACTTGTAATTGTTGATAGCTGTTACTAAAATTGCATTAATTTGTCAACATTAAAAATAAAGACCAAAACATTTCATGAATATCTTCTACTGATGTGTCAACCAATGTTTCATAAACAGTGAACATTGTACACATTTTAGCCTTTCAAGATTGTTTCTGGGATTCATCTAAACATGTTTATTGAGCTCACCTCGAGTTTCATCCATCAAACAATAACAAAGGAGACTCGAAAAGACGAGCTTGAGCAATGGTCAGTGCTGCAATCGAAAGCCTGCCTTATAATCGAGAAATGGCCTGCTCCACCAGTGAGCTCTGCAATCGAACAGTTCAATCATCAGAAAGAGAAGAAATTACAGTTTGCATTGTCAACTATACAGAATAATTGGAGAATGATTCCGGTGAACGACTTCAGTGCATACAACAAGCATGGAAACCACCATTCCGATAATGTAGCAAGATTTATACATTTTATGCTTTGCTTACCAGTGAAGCACCCTTGGCAGCTCTTTCAGCCAAAAAGGCACAAGGCTTGAAGAACTCTCCGTACATTTTCGACCACTCCTCGAGTCTAGAATAAATGTAGTTAGATCCTAGAGAGTCGGCCCAAAACATGATTCCTCCCCTGAAAAGTTAAAGGCAATTTAGTTCGATGAAGTACCGGAATGATTAGTGAAAAACCTTGTGATGTTTACGAACCTGTAAGGTGGAAATCCCATTCCCATAACAGCAGCAATGTCAAGGTCCGCTGCTTTCACTGCAATACCTTCAGCAAAAACTCGGCAGGCCTCATTCACCACTGGAAAGAATATCGTCTCCACAATGTCCTTGTCGGACAATTTCACAAACTGCATGTTAAGTGCGGTCCCAAAATTATGAGATAAGATAATTCGATTTGCTGTTCTTTGTAACCTAATATTAAGTTGCTCACACGTAACAGAACTCGATGAGATCATAGCACCAAGCCAAGTAAAATAGGAGTGACACCACAAGCAACAGTTTTGAAGACAAACTGACCTTAGGGTCAACAGCTACACCTGAGATACTCCTCGACTGCTCGATGTACTTATTCAGTTCGGGATCAGGCCTAGCTTTTCGTTTCTTGTCGTACAAGTAAAACCCTTTACCAGTAGCTTCACCTGAAACAGTGGATCATGATAACAAGATATCCTGAAAATGAAATTTGTTTGTTAACCAAGGTTCAAGAATGAAAATCATACCGGATCTCTTATCCTCTTGCATAATCGGGACAAGCATTGATTTATAGGTTCGATCAGGGAAGTTCTCAATGAACTGTGTGCCAGTTGCAATTCCAACACCGAAACCAACCAGGTCAACCAATCTGCAAAAGTAAGAAAATTAATACGATCAGTTCACCAATATATTGAATTTCATAGGAACAACTGCAAGAATAAAATATCGAGACATATGTTTTCCTCGTGAATTGGGTACCTGAACGGGCCCATTGGCATTCCAAACTTGGTAATTACTCGGTCAATCCGGTAAACATCAGTTCCCCGTTCAACAAGGAAAAGGGCGGCTTGTGAATATGGGAAAAACATCCTATTGACAGCAAAACCTGTGCAATTTCCTACAACAATAGGAGTCTTCCTTATTTTCTTTCCTACAACAAGTAGGTCAACAATTATTTGGGGAGATGTTTGCTTGGTATGAACAATCTCCAGTAGCGGCATGACATGAGCCGGACTGCATCAGATAGATATGTCAACAAATGAGCCATCCAAGTGAGGAAGCAGCATAAGGGAGTAAACGAACAGCAAGAGTTGCATAAAAAATAATACCTAAAGAAATGAGCCCCAACAATCCGATACTGGGATTTGGTCCTCTTTCCAATCAAGTTCAGATCAATAGTGGAAGTGTTACTTGCAAGTATGCAATGTGGTGGGCAGTATTTCTCGAGATCAGCAAAAATTTGTTGCTTCAAAGAAACTTCCTCAATTACAGCCTGTTACAAGAATTATAAACAAAGTTGTGAATATCAAAACCGCAGATAAAATACCGTAGGAAAGGCAAGATTGTAATAAACATTCTTAGCTACCTCTACAACCATGTCGACATCTCTAAAGCTTTCGTAGTCAAGAACACCAGTAAGCAGAGAGATTGTTTTTCCAAATTTTTCCAGACTCATTTTCCCTTTCTTAACTCGGCTTTGCAGATTGGCTGCAGCAAAATAATAGGATCTCACAAACCAAGCAAATGTCTAAAATAAACTACGTGAAAAGTGGTATTGGAAAAGAAAATAAATAACCCAGTATTGATCACCTTTGACTCTATCAATTCCAGCCTCCAAGAACTTCTCATTCACTTCTTTTAGGATTACCGGATAATTGCTAAGGATCAATGCCGTTGCTATCCCGGAGCCCATTAAACCTCCACCAAGTACAGCAACTTTTTTCACCTGTCTTGGCACCAGGCCCCTGTCCGTAACCCCAGGAACCTGCCCATTGCTAAGAGGTCAGTGTTTGTAAAAAGTTAAAGCAGAAACGATAGAAAGGGTAGCAGTAGCATATGGGCTGCCTTTTACAAAGGGAAGGAGCAATTGATGGTTTGAAGAGTATGATGTAAAATAACTTGAGTTATATTAAATATCAAGTCATTTCTATCAATGATACAATGTATGACACAAGTTCGAGCTTTAAGCGGATGAAATACATCAAAAAGTATATCAATTATCGAAGAACAATGAACATCAGCAATCAGAGAGACAAATGAATGTAATCAAAATTTGTTTTGGAATTAGAATAACCAATATGAAAACCGAAAAAGACTTATCATAGCCACCAAATTAAGGAGCTGAAAGATAAAAGAAAATCTAAAAGCATCAACTTTTAATTGCCGAATCCATTAATTGTGTGTATGAAGGGTGAAAAAGGAAAAACCACTGCAACCTTTGATGTGCCACGCATTGCAAAGAAGATATGGATCAAGCTTTTGCAGGTGTCGGATTTCAGAAGTTCTTGGAAAGCTTCTACCTCCTGCCAAAATCAAATCTCATTTTAAAGTTTACTTCTACCTGTAAATAAAAAGATAAAATGAAAATGTATTAAAACGATAAAGAGGATAAGTAAAGACCTTCCAAAGTCCTGCCCTAGGACCAGAAACTATACCCTCTTCAATAACATCAAGACAAACAAAGGGGTGTTTTAAATTAGGAGCTCGCTTCCGTGCCTGCTCTCTAGCAAAGTTAAGTATTTCCCTTGCTTCTCCAAGGGCCTCTATCTTATCAGTTTTATAGACACTAGCAACCCACGGTCTTCTTCGTTCCAAAATATCTAGTGCCCAACGACGTGCAGCGTCTAACAACTCATGAGATGAAACGACTGCATCAACAAGTCCCAAATCAAAAGCTTCTTCACCTTTAACAGGCTTCGATGTCTATATAAGGGGAAAAAGAGAAGAAGAAAATGCACAGTTAATGAACAAAGATATTAATATAGTAACCATATCAAATCATACCAATGCCTGACTAAAGCAAAAAAGCTGATCCAACAACATACCAACATCATCTCAAGGGATTTCGTGAGACCAACGAGTCGTGGAAGTCGCTGTGTACCTGAGCCCAATTAGGGGCACAAAGCAGAATATAAATAAAGCCAATATAGCAATATGTCAAACTGGCATAAAATAAATGAGAATCACAGTACCACATATGAATGGTCATCAGTTACCTCAATATCCAATAGTTTCATATATGATTAGACGTATATAGAAACAGCCGAAAATGAAAATGAAAATAAAAATTAAAATGAAAGAGTCATACCCCCAAACCCAGGAATTAACCCAAGCTGAAGTTCAGGCAGGCCTAATTGTGCAGTAGGAGTCGATATCCTTGCATGACATGTCTGAAAGGGAAACATTATAATGATATTTTCTTTCCATGAAAAAAATTATATTTCTGAAGAGTTAAATAAATATGTACCATTGCAATCTCTAGACCCCCGCCTAAGGTAAGGCCATCAATGGCAGCAACAGACGGTTTTTTTGCAGCTGAAGTACAAAACATCTAGAGTCAACATGATCCATATTCCATACAATTTGATATGGTTTCCAGTTTAAAAATAATTATAACAAGATGAATACCTTCTAAAGTGTCAGTGAGAACCTCAATTGATACATAGCCAGGCTTTGGCTGTTCCACTGGAAAATACAACTAACCCATCAATCTCAAACCAATATATATATATATATAAAGGACAATTCTGAATACCTTTTCCCGATTGAATTCCACCAAAAGATGTGATATCAAAACCACCAGAAAATTTTCCATTTGCACCTGATCAAGAGACAAGACATTAGCATCTCAATAACCAATTCCAGTCTTTCTGGAAAGCAGGAACAGAGATGATATATTTACACATCTTTTCATTTAATTTTAAGGGAAATCTCCATGAACTTACCTGTGACAACAATCGCCTTCACATCATCTCTTCGCAAGGCCTCATTATAACTCTCTTTTAAGCTTTGCAACACTGTGATGAGGGCACAAAAAGGAAAGACAGATCAATTGTATATCTTCTCAATTACACAAAATCAGTAAAATGTAATTGAGGAGGAAAGATAACTATACATTTCAGGTAACCAAAATTGCAAATATACCCAAAAAAAAGCAGAACAGTGCAATTATAGACCTAAATTTGCGTTTGAACACCAATCATGCTAAGCAGTTCATTAAAAAAAAAGACACTTACCTTTCAACACTCCTTTTCTATATTACTGAATGTTAGTTATGAGTTTTTTCTTTCTTTCAACTTTATCTATTCTATTGCTATCTAATTCAATCAATAATAGAACCATGTTTTCAGTAGCATAAAGTGAACTAATTATAAACCCACCTACAAAAATACAATGTAAGAGAATTCCAGATCAACATTGATTGTGTAAGTGTAGGACCTCTACTTTGCAAGAAAATGAAAAATTAACTTAACAAATACATCTGTTTCGCTAATAAACCACACACAAAAAAGAACTTTGTTCAACAATTTGTATAAAAAAATCCATTGGAGTCATAAATAACAAAGAAATCCCAAACCCCACGACTCAAAACTTAATCACAGAGCAAGAAAAAAGAATGGATCAGAAAAAAAAGGGTACCGTCAAGTGAGAGAGAATTGACAGGAGGATTGATGATAGTGATAATAGCAACCCCATCAGCTCCAACTTCCATCATGGTTCTTCTATTGTTCTTGCTCCCCATTATCACTCTTCTCTAACGCTATACTTCTTCTTCTCTGATAAAAAAAACTGCAGTACAAAAGCAAGCAAAATAATGGGTATTGAAAGTTCTATCAAAATAAAAAATTAATGAAAGAGTTCGTTTGGGGATCAATCTCATTTAAGGAGGTGTCCTGTAAGAAGTGTGAAAGAAGAGTTTTAACATGTTAGGAGGTTTTAACCAGCTGCTTCCGTCTCTACCTTAACTCCTTTGTAATAATTGAGATTTATTACGCAACCATCATCTTAATAATTATATATTATTTTTAAAATTTTAAATCGATTATTGAATAATTAAACTATACATTTTTTTATTTAACATATTTTTATTTTTATTTTATCTATATCGTTGACAAAATTATTTGATAATTTATAAGTATTGAATTTATATTAGAAAATTATTTGATAAATTAATAAACATTAAATATAACTATTTTATTTGACAAAAGTAAATTGTGCTTTAAAATGTGTTATTTCTTTATTTCAGAATTATTAGTATATTTTTGGATGATTTTAAATAAAAGTTAATTATAATTATTTAATTTTTAAAACTTAAATTGTTTCAAATGTAGCTTTTAGAAAAAATAAAATAAAAGTAATTCTATTTAATATTTTTACGATGAAGCTTTTTATTTAATAAAAAATTAATTTAATTACCAAACACGTACATATAAAAACTAAATATGATTTTTAATGTTGTATCGAGCACCTGTATTCATTAAATTAAAAATTTTATTTAAAATTTTCAATTAAAGAATTGTTACATATATTATTTTTATCATAATTTTTATTATTATTTTATACCACTGTATCAATTTCGTAAATAAATCATTATAAACTTAACAAGTATACATGATCGTAAGTAAATTTAAATGTAAAATTTTGGTAACCTTCAATTTTAAAATTTCGTCTTGACTAATTTAAATTAATTTATATTGCATATTTGGTTTTGGTACCTGAGTCTTTCAATATTCTTAAATAAGATTAAACTGTTTACCGCTTGAACCAATAATTATCGATAAAAAAATTTTAAATAAAAAAAAATTCTTATAAAATGATCAAACGAAATAATAAGGAAAAAAAGGAGATATAATTTATTTTTCAGTTGTAATCCATAACAACATCTAAATCATGGATAAGAAGGGTAGCGGCATCTAGAGAGTGTCAATATCTTGCTGGCTATCTGTTTGGCAAAGACATTGAAATGCAATGTAGGGGAAATTAACCCGGCAGAAAGATAAGGTAGTTGTATTTTGATAATTTCAAAGTTTTACCCATTACCACCTAGGCACCTACCTACACTTTTAATTATTATTTCTATTCTATATTTAATTATCTATAATTTTATGTAACGAAAAATAAATCGTATTTAAATTTATTTGTTTCATGTTTGATTTTTTAATATTATTGTTCATTTACTCTTTTATAAAAGATTTAATGAAAACTTAAGTGTTTAAATTATAGCATTTATTTATTTTAGGTGTTTAAAGATTTTTTTCACTCAAATTTATTCTTTTAGAGATCTGGTTCGTCACGGCCGATAAAAATAATTTATTATTTGACATATATAATATTTATAAAATTTTAAAATAAAAACTTAAAATTATAATTTTATTTAAAAAAAAATCTTAAATCTAAAAGAAAACTCTAAACTCTAAAAACCTTAATTCCAACCTTTTTTTACCCACTCCGCTCGTCATCGATGTTCCTTTGGTCGTCGGCTTTTATCGTTGTCCACTTCATCTAACCGAATTCTTACATATGATAGGAGAAATTGTTGACTGAAATTTTAGAATCGTCACCCTTTAGCGGAATAGCTTAGTCTCTACAATAATCAATTTTTCACTACAATCGTCGCTTGAAACATGCAGTTCGGGCGGTGATTTGTCGTCGGAGTTTCAGCTGATTGACGGCGTTGGTGTCGAACGACGGTGGCAAGGGGTTGAAATTAGGGTTTTTTGGGATTTTAGTTTTTGTAATTTTAGAAGAAGTTATTAAAAAAATAAATTTATTTTTTATTATGAAAAATTAAAATTTTATAAGCATTACATGTGGCAGATAATATATTGTTATAACGATCGTTACGATACAGACACTCAAGAAAATAACATCAGAAATATTAAATATTTACTTTGAACGAAAATAATTTAAACATTTAAAATTAACTTTAAATATAATTTAAACATTTAATTTGACAATAAATTTTATTTATATATATATATAGTACAAAAGAAAAAATAAGCAAAAACTAACGGGAACCAGACCAACCTCCCAAAAACCATCATGGGAAGAGATTTGTTTGGTTTAAGTAGAAAAAAGAAACAACACTCAAAATACCATTCAAAAACGTAAAATATTCTAGAAAACATAAAATCGATATAAATTCGTAAACAGGATATGAATCATAATACATATAATAATAAGAGTTAAAATGGATATAAAAACGTAGTAATCTAAAGTTCTTTATAATATATATATATATATATATATATATATATATTTACACACACAAAGAATAAATAATATAGAGTATGAAAATGTACATGCGATGTTTGAAAGGAAAACAAACTATTAAATGAAAATGATCATTTTGATCTATATTCTTTCTTTGAATATTTTGGCCCTTAATATTTCACTTTCGGGTGAAAAACTTCCTCTATAAATGAAAACTATTAGTTCAAACACGATTAACATTCTAAAATAAAAGTCATTTTTAACTTAAAATAAAACATTAAGAGCTAAAATATCCACACATAAAAAAAGAATAAGAGACAAGATGTTTATTCTATTAAATATTAAAAAAAAATTTATCTTAAAATAAGATGTTAAAAGTTAAAATACTTCATAAAATAGAATAAAAGATAAAATAATTATTTTAATAAATATTAATAACTAATTTTGATATGATGACTAAAAAAAAGTTGACGGAGTTTGAGAAAAGGGATGGAAAGAGGAGGTTTATAGGCACACAAAAATGATGTTAAATTAGACCCAGAAAATCAAACATCTAAGGGTCAGGATTAAATCCTCTTCATCTCTCCCAGCTTCCATTCCACCGCACCTAATAAAAAGATTCTGGTTTAGCTTTACTAGAAGAAGAACAATTTTCCCCTTCCTCTGCAAATCAGCAGATGCCAACAAAAGTCTCTTTTTTTTGTTATCAAAGTTCGAGATTTTTTTTATTGATAAAGATGAAGATTATGCACTCCAACAAATTTACTAAACACATGGTCTCAGACGTGGCACTTTACCTCTTAGAAATTTGGGCAATAAGAAGAAAACTTACTGATAGAGTTTATGCGACAAAAGGTAGCAGCCAGAATCGAAAGCTAGGCAACTAAATTCCCCTCCTGTGCAGTCTCTAGTTGATACAATCGTGCATTTCAATATACCAAATTATTGACTTATTCATTTTGTTCAACCCAAAAGGACGTGTAGTGTAACAGTAACTTACGACCATTATGCTAACTTTGTGGCAAATTTGGGCATTTAGTGGATCGTGCTTCCATAGATTTGACTCATCCTTTTCTGGTATTACTTCGTCCTATATGCCTACAACTCAACCAATACTTAACACTTGCGTATATGCCTCTTATTCATGTTGGTAATGTTCAAACTCACATAGAGTTGGAAACACTATTGTGAATGAGTATTTAAGGCTTGCATTCGTTGTTGTTCGACTAGATTCGTGATCGTGGTAGTGGGTCTTACTATTCACATTCAAAATGTGTTTCTAAAGTTGTTCTCTCTATACTTTTCAATCAGAAGTGTTATACTGTTAGCAGCCACTCTAATTTCGGGTGTACAAAATTTGAAACGATCGCGTTAATCTATGGGGACGATCCACCTATTAGAACGACTATACACATCGGAACAAATTCGTTTCGAAGACAATAGTTTTTATCACGACACAATTTACGATTTCAATTTCTCAATTATTATTTAATTTTTTCAATCAGTGCTAACGGTATGATTTTGCGGTCTATATTTCCAACAATTCACTCATACTCAATTCTCTGCATCTTGTTGCATTGTTAAGTAGGAAGCTACAAGGCATTGGTATTTTATTTTATTTTTTCGCTAATACACAACATCAAGTTAAAACAAAACTAGCCTCCAACAGCTTCCTGGGTAACTAGAAATGCCATACCAGCTGACGGAGCTGTGAAGTGGTCTTCTCCAACAGGACCTTCTCTGGCCATTCCACAAAGCTTATCGCCCACTAAATTCGCCTCCCTGCAAAAATCCTCAAGAAGCGTTCGAATCGAAGCAATAAGAGATGAACCCATAGTTGCAGTAGTTGTCGATGAAAGCAGACAGATTGAAAACCTCAGCATTGTCGGTTTCCACTAACACCCTGCGAAATCCCAGTCTCTAGTATGATTCCGTATATCATGAATCCCCATAAATTTTTAAAATTTATTCTTGATATACCAAATCATGCAACTCAAGCCCTGATTTTGATCGTTGAAGCTAGGAATTATTTGATAATTGTCCAAAATTTCATGTGTATCTCTAATATGTGTCAAATGATCATTTCAAAGTACTTGACATGTCATAAGATGGTTAACGCTGGTGTATAAGTTGTACGAGATATGATAGCATTATGGGTTGAAGGCACTCAATATCATTTCAAAATTTGAGGGTTGGGCTTTCGAGCCATGGGTTGTGTAAATGTTTGACCTGTGTTTATATAATTATTAAGTGATTCAAGGGCTAAAAAAATCTAAATTGATAACTGAATCAATTAAATATGTGTACCATTGATAAGATATTGATGATCATACTCCTAATCAAATAAATGATCACAATGATAAATCTTATTTTTAAATCGATATCTTACTGAACATCTTTGCAAGTTATTGAATTATAATTTTCATTTATGTCACATTAAATGTTTTTAATCTCTTTGACTATGATTATCACAAAACACTTGAAACATTTAAATGCACCACATTACGATAACAAAAAATTATGTTCATTTTTATCTACAAGACAAACACTTTGAAACATTTAAAACATTTAAATGCACCACATCAATGACTTTACAATCATTAGATTCAAAATGA